GGCTCGTTCCGATCTTTTAGGAATTTTAGTACTTTTCAATACTTTGACGAATAAATCCGTGTCCTTGATCTGTTTTTTTTTCGGTAGGTTTCTTGCTTGGTACTGTGAAAATCTTAGTATATGGTAGATATTATGGACAACAAGATTTATTTGCGATACCTTTTGAGGAAAAAAAACCTCTTTTTTAATGCTGTTTTTGGTTGCTGGGAAAACTGAGGTTCTGAGTTCTTTGGTTGAGCTTTTAGGTTCTGTTTCGTTGATTTTCTACTAGTCAAGAGATGCATTGAAGAGAGTATAATAGCTGATAACCTCAGTCAGTTATCTTTTCTTATTTGACAGGAATGACTAGTTATTTAGTTTTGTCCATCTGGACCTTTAATTTATAGTGTTCTACTTTCTTTAATGCTATGTGTATCATATAGCTAAATGATGTTTGAACGTGTTCTTTTTTTATCAAATGAAAAAACTGGCTTCTTGTCTGACCTTTGCTCTGTGCTATGAATTCTGAACAAATATAGATGGGAAGACGTTCAAGAAGCCCCGTCGCCCTTATGAGAAGGAACGTTTGGATGCCGAGTTGAAGCTGGTTGGAGAGTACGGGCTGCGATGCAAGAGAGAGCTGTGGAGGGTTCAGTATGCTCTGAGCCGCATCCGGAATGCTGCAAGAGAGCTTCTCACCTTGGATGAGAAGAACCCACGCCGGATCTTTGAAGGTGAGGCACTTCTTCGGAGGATGAACCGCTATGGGCTTTTGGATGAGAGCCAGAACAAGCTTGATTACGTCTTGGCATTGACTGTGGAGAACTTCCTTGAGCGCCGCTTGCAAACCCTTGTTTTCAAGTCTGGTATGGCTAAGTCCATTCATCATGCCCGAGTTCTCATCAGGCAGAAGCATATCAGGTAAGGAACTCTAATTTGCTGCCTGCTGTAGGGATATTTGTAGCTTCTAATTTGATGCTTTTCCACAATAGCGTGTGCTGATTTCAGTAATTTACTTTTGTAAGTTCTAGACATGTTTCAATCAAAATGAAGCGTGTTCCACTTAAAACTACTTAGCCC